AGCCGAAGTCTCTTTGACTTTCTTGTAGGTTTTGACTACACGCTGCAGGAAAGGTTCGTTCTCAAAAACCCTAAACCCAAGACTGGCAAAAGTCTCTTCCAAATCCTCCTTTCGGAATGGCACGGGGTACTTCTTCAAGGTGTAAGATGCTCCTTCCTTAATGTATATGGACGCTTCAGGTGCTAGGACCACTATGTCATGTCCCCTCTGCTGCAGCTGCTGGAGGACCCCCACCAAGCTCAGCCAGTGGCTGCCGTCCGCTGGGACCAACAACAGTTTTCCGCCCTGGGACACAGAGGGGCCGAGCGCACACAGCAGCAGACCCAGGACAAGCTGACGTGGACCCTGGGAGCCCACTGCCATGGTGTCCCCGACTTTGCTACTAAGACTTTGACTTGCCAGAAGTTTACTCTCTCCCACTTACATGTTATAAGAACCAATCCATACACCAAGTTAATGTTTGATTGTGTCATATGACTACAGCTGTCAGTCAGCTAAAGGTAACAGGAAGTTTACTTATAGAGATAAAGAGGGCAGACCTTTACTAGGTTTCTTAATAGACAACCAAAGTTTAACTGGCTGGAATTCCTTATCAACCACTCACATCACATTCTTGATTAAACACAGAAGGCAAAGCATCTCCAGTATCTTTGAATCCATCAAATTACTATTTCCATGGACCAAAAGAGCATTATTGAATAGGAAAAAAGGCTATGTGGTGACAAATTAGACTTCCTTTTCACAAATGAAGTAGAAAGCTGAATATACCTTTTAGAAAGAATAGAACATGACATTGCAAGCCCACCTTTGGCCCGTGGAAACTTCTTAGAATGTCCTTCTCCGCAGCTCACTCAGGGCTCTGCTCTCGCTGCATCATTTTTCGTTTCATTCGTCCAACAAACATGTATTGAGTCCGGCACAGTGCTGGGCCTGGAGGCTCCAGCAGAGATCACCACAGATGAGTCTCCTGCCTTCCCAGAACTCACGCTCCATCAAAAGAAACAGACTGACAATTTGAACAGATAGATACATTCGAGGCTGAGAAACATGCTAAGGAGGAAATGAATGCTGCTGGGGTAGAGAATGATGGGAAAGGGAAACCTGCTTGAGGACCTGTGCACAGAAGGTCTTTCCCAGGACAGATCTGTATTCATTCAGAGAGGTAGCAGGAGAACACTGTAAAGAAGAAACCAAAATAGATAAGGGAACAACGGTAAGTTAAACTGTAGTCATCATCACACAGGCCCAAGGTCCAGGGGAAGGAAGACGCTTTGGGAAATTCTGATGACTAGGTGGAAGGCAAGGGGCAGAGGTGGAGAAAAATGATAAGAAGAATATGTATTTATTGAGCTTGTGCAACGTGCCAAGGATGGTGCTCAGCACTTCACAACACGTCCTATGTAATCCCCCAGAACTATCCTACAAGGCAGATACTATTATTCCCATTTTACAGTCGAAGACACTGAGGCTCAGAGAGACAAAGTGATTTGCCAGAGTCCTAAATTTACTAAGCAGCAGAGCCGAGATCCAGGCCCTGGGTATCAGAGCCCAGAGACCCTGCTCTCAAGCACAACTCCCTCCAGCGGGGCCCAGACAATGGTATTAAGGCTGCCATCGAAATTTACAACCAACTAGAAGTCAGAAGTGAAGCTGTGATCCCCACAGTCATTACCCAATCAATATAAATGGAGAGAAGGCAGATGGCAAGACTTTGGGATTATGTAGTAGGTGCTCACACAGCAATACCCAGCTAGTACCCCAAAAGATCTGGTGCCAGGTTGGAGAGCAAATACGGTGGTTAGTTGCCGAATAGAAATGCCCTTCCCAAAGAAAGGGCAAATTGGAGTGCAGACAGAACTGAGTATCTCACTCTTTCCTTTTGGGATCCATTGCTGTTCTATACAATTCCAAGCTGAAAGCACAGATCCCAATATGTTGACAGTGGACATCACTGGCCACCCAGACATGAGGATCTGTTAGGAGGGTCATGGAGAAACTGCTAACTTTAAAGCTTTGGTGTCCTGTGGGCATATTCACAGGACCCCTCATTCTGGTACTTAGAGTAGGAACTTAAGAGTCTCTTTTCCCTGTACCACCATCCTCCATAGACCTCTAGTCTTGTATGTGCTGACGTAAGGGTGCTCACACACACATGCACTCTGAAGCTCCCTGCGCACAACCCACGAGCACTCTCCATTCTCCAGAACCAAGATTCGGGGTAAGCAGAAAAGACGCAGCAAGGCTTTGCCTTATTGATGTGCCCTTACCTGCAATTTTGAAATTGATAGCCCAGTTTAAACATTAAGGGCAATCATTCTTCGGAAGTCTCCATGTCATGAGAGTTCATCTGTAGATTACACCATGGAGCAAAGGGCTGTAAAAACACACAGTCACCACTGACATGACTTTATGACTTTCCTGCCTCACGCAGAGCCTCAGAATTTTTTGAGCCCACTGTGCACCCAGATGGTTTGGGGCCAAGACTCTGCCTGTGACCAGGGATTGCTGTTCACCCATGTGAACAGCAGGGAACCCACATTCACTCTCAAGAATTACGACCAAGAACCACTACTAAGCAACCCAATAAAGCTTCTGCCCTGGAACCTGAGCAGACCTGACACTCAAAATCCATTGCTAATTCCCCCACTCACCCAATATTTATGAGAATGTTGGCCCTGCTGGCATTCTGCTAGAAGCTGGGACTAGAAAACCAAGTTAGAAATGGTCCTTGCCTGTCAGAAGTGCTCCAGTGGGCAAGAGATAAGCAACCAGGCAACTATAGGGCAGGGTGAAATGTGCTTGGTGGGGGAGCAGGGGTGGCCAAGGAAACACAGAGCAAGGCCACATTGTGGTCTTGCTTGGGGGCTACTGTAGAGTACGATGTCTGCGAGAGAGTTTCTGGAACCCACTGGAAGATGATTTCTTTTTAAGCTGAAACCAGTAGTTAAGAGACCCATCACACACTCCCAGCTCCTTTGATGGGATTAGATTAGAGCTGCTTGTTACTCAACTAACGAGCTATGTAAACAAGTTCATTGCCTTTTGGATAATCTATGGGACCCTCTAGGGGAAACAAATGTGTTTTCCTTGAATCTCTGTAGCATTTTGTTTTATTCTGCCTTATTTCCTTTAGCAGTCTGCATATTTGTCTCTCCTACTAGACTCTCTCACTCTCTCTTCCTCTTCTTAACAGGCAGAGTTTCAGCTTTGGAATCACTCTCTCACACAGGTGCCAGTCCGTGGTTTTGCAGACAGTAAACACTCGGTAAATGTGTCTGTTTAGATGTGACTTCCCTTCTCCCTTTATTGTAGGCCCCATATCGAAGCAAGTGCTGAAAGTGGATGATTCTACCACTGTCTCTCAGACCCAGTTGCCATGGTCCTGTTCAGGGCCTCAGCCCCCAATGCCCTCAACTCCTATCTGTCCCTTCTGATTCCCTGCATCAGCAGACCCCTGCACAGCTCCAACTCACCACCACCTGATAACCTTGGTCAACAGCTTCCTAGGGCCCAGAATAGAATTCAGACTCCTCAGCCTTGCCCACAGAACCCCAGCCCACCTGTCCAAACTCATTCCTAATCTTGAGCACTTCCACTAGACTCCTCCGTCTGCCCTTCTCCCTCCGGGCATTCTGGATCACTTGCCCTTCCCAAAACACGTTTTGCACTTTCCCGCATTGTTTCGTTGCCATTGGACTCTACACCTGATCAGCTTCCTACTACTGTTTATTGCGTGCTTACCCAGTACCAAGTCCAGGGCTTTATAGGCAATCGTTCAAGGTGATATAAAGCCACCAGTTTGTTCTGGTGACATAGCACACCCTTTCAGATCTACTACCCTTTATCATGATATGATGAAATGTTAAGTAAGTTTGTTTGTTAATTGTTTTCCTCTTAGTACTAAGTGACCTTTATTAGTGTTGCCTCAGCATTTATCAAAGCAAAGACTATACTGCCCGAGAGAGCACAAGGACGAAGTGAAGAGAAGTCAGATGTCAAGAAACGCCAAAAAGAAAAGTCACGGTCATGATACACCAGTTTTCGTGGAAATAATCACTGCACCCTAAGTTTACCACATAGCGCTATAAACATGGCCAGCAAGTCTTAATCATTTTGATATGCTAGACCAGGAGTTCTCAAACTATGGGCCAGGGCTATATCCAAAACTTTTCAGGGGAATTTTGCAAAGTCAAAACTATTTCCATAACAATGATATTTGACTTGTTCACTTTCATTCTCTCATCAGCATACAGAGGAGTTTCCCAGTGGCCACATGACACGTGATACTGCAACATATTGACTGCAGAAGCAGATATAAGAATCCAGCTCTCTTCTGTTAAGCCTTTGCAGAGAGATGCAAAAAATGTAAAATGAGGCCACTCCTCACTAAATTTTTTTGTTTTGAAAAATCACTATTTTTCCATAAAAATATGATTATGTTAGCATGCAATGGTTTTATTGTTACCATTAAATTGACTAATGAATTTGTTTTAATTTCTAAGGGAGTAAGTATTGATAGATATAACCCACATGAACAAAAGCAAACCGGTCCTGGGGCCAAGAGTTGGAGAATTGCTGACTTAGACAAACAACATGACTGATCTTCAGCCAAAGGTCAGACCAAACTCTCTCCCATCACTCTACCCCTACCCATGGGCCCGCGGGAAGGCCCACGGAAAGCCTACTTTAGGAAAATCATTCTCTATGGCAGCCAGTCGTAGCCCCCATTCTACCCGCTATCTCCCTCTTTTTTCTACGCTACAGAGGGGCAGGCGGGGGAGGCCGGTAGGTGGGAGGAGCCGGGGAGTGGGCGTGGCCATGGGTAGGCGGTGCCTCGGCACCCGCGTGAGACACGTCACAGAGCGCCTTGTAGGGAGTGGGACAAGCTCCCCAGCACTGCATTCTGGGATGCAGCCTCGACCAATGAGATGCGGCTACGTCACAAGGGGCGCCACTCGCGAGCGGGCTGGCCTCGCAGGGCACTCGGGCCCGCCCCCCGGGGCTGCCAGCCGCGCTGTGCCGGCCGTCCGACATGGTGGACTACTACGAGGTGCTGGGCGTGTCCCGCCAGGCCTCGTCCGAGGCCATCAAGAAGGCGTACCGCAAGCTGGCGCTCAAGTGGCACCCCGACAAAAACCCCGAGAACAAGGAGGAAGCGGAGAGGAGATTCAAACAAGTGGCCCAGGCGTACGAGGTGTTGTCAGACGCCAAGAAAAGGGAGGTCTACGACCGATACGGCGAGGCGGGGGTAGAGGAGGGCGGCGGCGGCGGCGCCGGCGGGCCCTTCGAGGACCCCTTCGAGTACGTCTTCACCTTCCGCGACCCGGCCGAGGTCTTCAGGGAGTTCTTCGGCGGCCAGGACCCATTTTCGTTTGACTTCTTCGGAGACCCGCTTGAGAACATTTTTGGGGGTCGGAGGACCTCCCGGGGAAGCAGAAGCAGAGGGTCCGCAAACCTTTTCTCCACCTTCAGTCAATTTCCAGCATTCGGGGGTGGCTTTTCTTCTTCCGATACGGGATTTCCTTCCTTTGGTTCCCTGGGGAATGGAGGCCTTTCTTCCTTCTCCATGTCCTGTGGTAGTGGTGGGACGGGCAACTTCAAATCCATGTCGACTTCCACTGAAATAGTGAATGGCAAAAAAATCACCACCAAGAGAATCGTTGAGAATGGCCAGGAAAGGGTGGAAGTGGAAGAAGATGGCGAGTTAAAGTCCCTGATGATAAATGGCAAAGAGCAGTTGCTGCACATTGACACCAAGTAATTCCAGTCCACATTCAACTTAAAGCACGTTGTGAGGAATAGCAGGACTTGTTCTTATTTGGAGATTGCAAGTGACCTCTACTTTCAGACAGCCGTACTCATAATTCATAAACAGTTCATGCCAACGCCTATTTGTTGTTATTGTTGGGACCAGAACAATAGGACCTCTGTCTGCCTTTAAGAAAAACTGTTGTAATTATCTGTATGCACTTTGCTATTTATTAAACATAATCCCAAGGCAGGCGGTGATTATTCTGTAGAACTAGGAAAAAATGTTCATCACCAGAGCGCCTGGAAGCTTGCCCTTCCATTTTGTTTGAAATGTAAGCCAGGTTGTTTGCTCTGAAGTCAACATTGCCAAGATAGATCATTTTACTTCATTTTTTAGCACATAGTAGTAAAATATATGAATGTATTAATAATACATCTGGCTTAAATTAAAGATGGTGTTTAGTTCCACATAAATGCTGGTGACGTAGTAAAAGTTGACCGTTTAAATATAACGTCTAGCCTAGGCTTTTTAAAAGCAGGTAAACCTGGCATAAGTGGGTGTATTAGTTTCCTGTGGCTGCTGTAACAAATTAACAGGAATTTGGTAGCTTAAAATAAGTCACATTTATTCTCTTAAAGATCTGGAGGTCAGAAGTCTGAAATCAGTTTCACTGGACTGAATGATGTCAGTGTTAGCAAGAAGGTATTCCCTCCAAAGACTTGGGCAAAATACTTAAGTGAATTCCTCACAGTTACATGGTTGGTCAAAGGCATCCTGAGGACTGTACTGACTCAGGTCCTTGACTTAAGCAATAAAAAATGCAGTGGTAATGATGACTCAAAAACTCAATGCCAATCTGATTGCTAGCCTGTACCCAACTTGGTTCTACAACTATGACTGTTGGAAATGTGAAAAGCATTTCTGTAAGGCTACACGAAACTATCCCATTGCCATGTGCAGGATGTATCTCATTGCAAATTAGGTTGACAAAAACCAGGAATATTGGAAAGCTTGGAATATTGATTGGGTGAGGCAACATACACACATCTGGGAGGGTAGTTTTCTGTTGGCACAGTTTATGCCACCAATGAAAGCCTTTTGGGGCATGGTTGCCTTGGGATAGTCCATCACAAAGTGTGCCATCTCCCTTGGTCATCTCTAAGGAAAGGTTTGCATGAAGCATGGGAGAAAAAAGGCAACTGAACTAGACAGACTAAAAATGCAGGTTGTTTTTAGTTCTTTACTGAAAGGTAATGTGGCCTGAGCGCATTGGTAACAAGAATAGATGAGATTTTGTTTGGATACCCTATGGTGCCCTTGAAGTCCAATCCCCATGGAATGACTTGCAAACAATGCTCCGTGGGAACATAGGATTTAGCCACCACTATCCCACAGGGGCACACGGAGCCTGTTAAACCACATCAAATAAATAGTCACTGAGGTACCTGGGCAGTGCTTCTTAATACACTAACTGTACAAGAAGTATCAGAATATAACAGACTACCAGGGCTTTTAAAACATGAGTTCATTTGTTTGCCAGGCAAGGGAACTCACACCAGGGTAGACAGGCATAGTTGTTGGGAGCAAGGGGAGAAGGGATGGTCAGGGGTTTTGAAGTGATAGAGAGGTGGGCACACAGTTTTATGGTGGTTATGCTCATTAAGGGTTGAAAATTACCACTCTGGATGGTACAGAATAAGTACATTTGTATCTATATAATTGGTTAAAACAAGTCCCCATTGTCCAGTGGTCATGAAAGTCTTCAGTTGGGTCCAGTAAGAGTCTGGCATACCAGTGTCACTCAGAGGTCATGGATCTTTCACAGCTCTGGCTAATTATAACAGTTGAGGGGAAACACAGCATTCAGTTTTGGTATATCCTGGATTAGTGCTGCTAAATGGAAGGTTTTCCTTTTACAGAAATATAAATCATTTTATTTAAAGAATTTTAAAAATTGAAAATCTCTTTTTAAAAATAACTTGATGCAAAATATCACACTGCTGTAGGCCTGTATATCAGTATTCCTCTTTTATGGAAAGGTTTGAGGGGGCTTTCAGAGTGGAAAAAAGGCATTTCCTCTGGTGCAAAGAGGACCATCTCGAGTCCCCTGCAGTGGATTCCTTGCGTGGGATCACTAGCACTTTCCCACATAACACACCAGGTAGGGAGAGGCGCAATTCAAGTCCCAAGAGACTTAGAAACCTGTGGCCGTCTCGGCAGCATCCAAATAGCTGAACATTTCCCCTGGCTAGAGCTCCACACAGTGCTATTTTTAGTTCAGCTTGCTTCACACAACAGAAAACATTTGGAAGAGAGAATAGTCTCTTCAAATAACCATTAAAGGATCAAGCTTCTTCCCTGGGATTCCGCTCTTCTGTCTCCAAACAGGCAGCGAGATCCTCTCACCATGGGAGATCATTCATCCGACTGCTTACCTCTATAGGAGTTGCTAATTCCACTTTCTCATCCTACTTTCTCAGTAAACACAGATTCCTTATATTTCCTCTTCTCCCGCTCTCCTTTAAACTCTTTCAGTAAGATTTCAATTACCACCAATCAGTATAACTTCAGTCACCAGCAATCTAGTATGACTACACTCTGGGAAGTCATCAACACCCTTATTACTGGAATAGTCTATTCTCCATCTTTATCCCACTCAGCTGAATTTTAGACTTTTTAGTAATTTATAAAACTCTTCCTCCTATTAATATGCAACTTGTAGTATCCCCAATCAGAAATAAGCTTTGTTAAGGTAGAGTTCTCTAAGGAAAGCTCCTTGTTTTTTTTGTTTTTTTGTTTTTTTCCACTTTGTGGATGAGAATATTTATGTCAAACTAGGGAGAGTGCTTCATTTGAGGTATCTATATTGGACAACATTCAGAGGAATTCTTTACCTTGGAACTTTCTGAAAACAAAATTATTTGTTGAAAATGAGTATATTCATGTCTTGGGGGGGACAATAACTGACTTGAAGGAAGCAAAAAAATGAATTTTTAAAAATGGACATTGAAAGCCACAAGATCACAACTGATAATGCAGAAAGTCAAGTCAGTGCTATAAATATGCTCCTCAGAGAACTCTCCCAGAATGCATCGGAAAAGTAGAGATAAAGTTGAAGAGTAAGATGCTAGCAACAGAGCCTGGGAAATAGAAATCTACAGATAACAGATATTCCCAAAGAAGAAATCAGAACAAAAATTTCAATAACTTAAATAGAGGAAAACTTTCAAGTTTTCAATAAGATTTGGGTTTAACTTTAGGCTTACTGTCTGAGGTAGGCAGTAAAATGGCCTTGCAAAGATGTCCACATCCTAATCCCTGGAACCTGTGAAGATGTCACCTTACATGGCAAAAGGGACTTTGCAGGTTTGATTAAGTTAAGGATCTTGAGACACAGGGAGATTACCTTGGATTATCTGGGTGGGCTCAATGTAATCACAAGAATCCTTATGAACAAAAGAGGGAGGCAGGGGAGTCAGAGATTTGAAGATGCTTTACTGCATTTATATGGAAATAGAAAAGCACCAGTAAATCCCCAAATTAACGAAGAAAAAAATCTTGTTTAAAAAAAAAGGAAAAGGAAACAATAAGGTAAAAAAAAAATGAGCTTACACTAAATGGAAGGAATAAAATCAAGTATATATATTGTGTGAATGGACAGAAATCTTACATCAATAGAAACTATCTGATTGGAGGGGGTTTTTACATGTTATTTAAAAACTCTTTAAGGAAACTTTTTTATAAAGTTTTTTTCAAGTTAAAAGTAAAGAGATAGACTTCACATGTATGGTCAAATGACTTTTGGTAAGGGTGCCAAGATATTCAATGGGAAAAGGACAGTCTTTTCAACAAATCATGCTGGGGAAACTATATATCCACATGCAAAAGAATGAAGTTGGACCCTTAGGTAATACAAAATGTACAAAAGTTAACTCAAAAATAAATAAAAGACCTAAATGTAAGATCTAAAACTATAAAACTCATAGCATAAAACATAGGACAAAGCTTCATGACATTGGATTTTGCAATGATTTCTTGAATGTGACACCAAAGTCACAGGTAACAAAAAAAGAAACAAATTGGACTTCATGAAAATTTACACAACAGAGTAAAATGGCAATCCACAGAATGGGAGAAAATATTTGCAAATCATATATCTGATATGGGATTAATATCCAAAGTATATAGAGAACTTCTAAAACTCAACAACAAAAAAACCCAATTCAAAAATGAGCAAAGGACTTGAATAGACATTTCTCCAAAGAAGATATACAAATGGCCAATAAGCACTTGAAAAGATGCTCAGCATCACTAATCATTAGGGAAATGCAAATCAAAACTACAATGAGATGCCACCTCACACCCATTAAGACGGCTACTACCCAAAAACCAGAAAATAACAAGTGTTGGAGAGGATGTGGAGAAACTGGAAAATGTGTAAACTGTTGATGGAAATGTTAAATGTACAGTCACTGGAGAAAACAGTAGGGCAGTTCCTCAAAAATTAAAAATAGAATTACCATATGATCCAGCAATTCCACTTCTGGGTATATACCCAAGAGAATCAAAAGCAGGATCTCAAAGAGATATTCATACACCCATGCTCATAGCAGTGTTAGTTACAATAGCCAAAAGGTGGAAGCAACCCAAATGTCCATCAATAGATGAATAGACAAGCAAAATGTGGTATATCCATACAATGGAATATTATTTAGTCTTAAAAAGGAAGGAAATTCTGACATATGCTACAACATGAATGCACCTTGAGGACATTATGCTAAGTGAAATAAGTCAGCCACAAAAAGACAAATACTGTATGAATCCACTTATATGAGGTTCCTAGAGGAGTCAAATTCATAGAGACAGAAAGTAGAATGGTGGTTGCCAGGAGCTGGGGAGAGAGGGGAATGTGGAGTTGTTTAAGGGGTATAGAGTCTCAGTTTTTCAAGGTGAAAAGAGTTCTGGAGGTTGGTTGCACAACAATGTGAATGCACTTAACACTACTAAACTGTATCTCAAAAATGTTAAAGATGGTAAATCTTAGGTGTATTTTACCACAATTAAACTTTTAAAAGGCAAACTTTATGAAAAAAATACAACAGGCATAAATCTTTTGAATCAGGTGCACCAGTCTAGCAGCCATATGTTTAAAGCAAAAGTTATTAAAAATTTCAAATGTAAATTGAGCAAAATTCAGTTAAATAGGAAAATATTTTAAGACTTCTTTTTCAGAATTGGGCATATGAAGTTTTTTTAAAAGAAAAATTGAAAATGTACATTTTTAGGTGTATTCATGGAACATTCACAAATGTTGATCATATGCTGTCTGATATAGTAGCCACTAGCTATACATGACTATTGAGCATCTGCAGTGTGGCTAGTCCAAATTGATATATGCTGTAAGTGTAAAATACAGACCAGATTTTGAAGACTTTGTATGAAAGAAAAAGAATATGAAGTATCTCATTACTATTTTTATATTGAGTATATGTTGAAAAGATAATGTTTTGGATATATTTGGTTGAATAAAATGTATTATTAAAATTAATTTTAATCTTCTTTTTGTTTTTAACATGCCTACTAAAAAGTTTTTAATTACATATGTGGCTTGCATTATATTTCTATTGGACAACTCTACACTAGACCATAAAGAAAACCTATTAAGAAATCTTTAAAACTAGTCACTTCACAAGAAATGTTCTCTGATTATAATCCAAAATAATTAGGAAAAAAATTTTAAAAAGAAGAACACAATAAATCTTTACTATGTGGGAATTGGAAACAGCCTTGTAGATAGCCATTGACTCAAAGAAGAAATCAAAAACAAAAATTTAAATGAGAAAATACAATGAAAATGAGAGCAATTTATGCTAAAACCTTAGGGACATAGAAAAGGTTTTATTTATGACCTTCAATGCTTCATTATTAAGAAAACATAAAGGAACTTAATATTTACCTAAGGAAATTAGAAAAACAACTATAAAGTAAACCAAAAGAAGCAAGGATGATATCATTCATAAAAAGTAAGCTGGAACCGGGGCCAGCCCGGTGGTGCAAGCAGTTTAAGTGCACGCTCTGCTGTGGCAGGCTGGGGTTCGTGGGTTCAGATCCCGGGCACGCACCATTGCACCGCTTGTCAAGCCGTGCTGTGGCAGCGTCCCATATAAAGTAGAGGAAGCTGGGCACGGATGTTAGCTCAGGGCCAATCTTCCGCAACAAAAAGAGGAGGATTGGCATTGGATGTTAGCTCGGGGCCAATCTTCCTCACCAAAAAAAAAAAAAGTAAGCTGGAATTAATGAAATAGAAAAAAATAGTAAAAAGAATAAGCAAGTCCAAAATTATTTCTTTGAGAATACCAATAAAATAATTCAACCCACCATAAATCTTAAAGAAGAAAGAGAAGGAGCAAAAATATAAGAGACTTAGACTTTGGAGCCAGCCCTGATGGCCTAGTGGTTAATGTTCAGCACACTCCATTTCAATGGCTCGGGTTTGGCTCCCAGGCACAGAACCACACCACCCATCTGTCAGTAGCCATGCTGTGGCAGAGGCTCACATAGAAGAACTAGAAGGACTTACAACTGGAATATACAACTATGTACTGGGGTTTTGGGGAGAAAAAAAAAAAGAGAGAGAGAGGAAGATTGGCAACAGATGTCAGCTGAGGGGACTCTTTCCTAGCAAAAAAAAGAGTTGGTTAGTTAATTTAAAAAAAAAAAAAGACTTAGACTTTGATCTTCCGTATTTGGAAAAAATTCCATAAACTACTTAAAGGAGTCACATCTAAGGGTATATCAAACCAAATAAATAAGAGAGTCAAAATCTCAAAGCAAAAAAGAATTTGGTGGAACAGAAATGATAATGGTGTGCCTACCATGTATAATACTTGAAGATTTCAGTGTAATTTATCTTTGAGGTACCAAATAAATTGGCAAAAACATATCTGAAGGTCTCCAGATGACATACTTTGTCCTGCTGGGTGCTTCTTAAATAATGATAATAGATAATATTTATTGTGTGCTCACTGTGACAATATTAAGGCCAGAATGGTTAGGTCACCCACCCAGGATGATGCAGCTAGAAATATGGGAGTGAGTTAACTTCTCTAGAGAATATATTCACATAGAAAAACAAAAGAAAAAACGCAACAATTGCTTTTTAAATGCCTTCCAACTTTTCAATTTTTACAATCTAATAGATAAATATATATTTTATAATTGAATAGATACATTGCATAAAGGAAAAAGAAAGCCAAGTAGAATAGATGCCTTGTCATTTGAGCACAAAGAAACGTGAAGTTAAATTCCTTTGCAGTAATATAGAAAGAGGTAGAGAAGTAAGAGTACAAAAACTATAAAAGATCTCAAGTCATGGAAGTTAATAAAAATTAAGTGAATATGAGGTAAATGGGCAAAAAAGATAACTAACTCAGTGGATTAAGAAACAAACCCAGCTCACAAGAGTCCTATTTCAGTTAAACCCAAATATACAGGGTTAATGTAAGATGCTTCTGAAACTATTAGTAAAGCAGTAGTTTTCCACCACAGAAACTCAGGGTGGAGTGGGGTGGGTTTGGTGATGTGGTCAGCCCATCCTAATAAACCATACCCCTTTCTCATTTCTCTTCATCACTGTCCCCACCTTCACTGGGTTTATAGGCTCAGTTTTATCTTTTCCCTAGCCCTTTCCACCATGCTTTGATGACTTTAGCGTCCCAAGTAGAAGACCCGTCTGACATGCAATTCAACTCTGGTACATTCCCACATTATACACCAGACACCAACTCTTGGTTAGAAAACTTGCCAGCACAGCTCCATCTCTGAAAAGTTGGACTCAATTTTTTCTTTCTCTGATCACAGAGACCCCACCTTCCCTCTCTAGCATTGTCTCTCTTCCACTTTATTTATTCAACCTCTTTGAAATGTCTGCTTCCTTTGGTGTTTAGGTCTCCTGTGATCTCACCTCAGCCCCCTCCAAGACAGGACTACTAAACACTATCATGTCAACAAATGCAATTTGCTAGTTCCTTTGTCCTACTACAGAACACCTGCAAGCAAAAACCCCCTGATGGATCAGTTCACAACTCAATTTCTCTGCTCCTATACAGCTGGAGAAAATTGCACAACCATGGAGACAGTGCCTTTACAAAAGGACAATCTTGGTGGAATCATATCATTGCTTGCCAATCCTATTACAGATCCCCTCCTCGGCCTCTCAGTCCTCGCAATGACCATTGCACACCTTTCCTACACTACTGGAGGCACTTTAACAATTTGTCTCATCGAAGAATGTTAGAAGGAGAATGAGAGGTAGAAATCTCTGGAAAGATTGGTAGACAAGTAAGCACCTGGAAGTAAGTTACAAAAAAAATACGTGTTCCCCCTGCAGCATTGATTGGATTAAAGCACCAATACTGACCTGAGATAATGGCTTCCTGTTGGCACAGTTTATGCCCCCAATAAAGACCATGTTGGGCATGATCGGCCTGGGGTAGTCCAACACAAAGTCATCTCTGAACAGCCACACGGATGCAGAGCCCAAAATATCCACCAGTGACACGTCTCTCTGAAGAAGCTTAGAGGCCAGGCTTGCATAAGGACTCAGAGAAACGTGGCAAATGTACTTCAGGGCCAGAGGGTAGAGCATATTCTTGACTCTTTGCAGGAATGTCATGTGGTCTGAATTTGTTGTTAAAAGCCTAGGAACATATGAGGAAGGGTTTGGGCACTGTGTGCTCTCAGAATCTAAGTCACATGGAAGGGCACGCAAAAAGAACACAGCAGGAATCTTCAGGTACTCAGCCAGCACTGCCCCGCAGGGGTAAACGGGGTCAGTTAAAACCACGTCAAAGGAACTGGCATTCAGGTGCCTGATCAGGTCCTTGTCATACATCAGCACCTCACAAGACTTTTGAAAGAGCAAAGACACATTTTTGAGAATTGTCATACTTCTCCAAAATGTCTTTAGAAAATGTGCTTTTTCAAAAATCATGTGACTCTGGCCCAGCAAGATGTGATTAAATTCATCCTGGGTATAAGGAATGTCGTAGGTTTTCATGGTGAAAAAGTCCTCTTCCTTGATATGTAGATTCACCTCTGGAGAAACGACCACTGCTTGGTGGCCTCTGGCATGGAGCTCCCGCACGGCCTTCCGCATGCTAAGCCAGTGGCTGCCTTCCATGGGGACCACCAGCACCTTCCCGCCCTCGGCCTGGGGCCCAACGCTCAGAAAGAGCAACAGCCCAGCGAGCGCCAGCAGGGGAACCTGGAGTCCCACAGCCATCTCGGTTGAAGCCAAAAGCAGCCCACTCTCCAGATCAGGCTGTGCCTCCCACATTTGTTCTCTTTCTCTTTATCTTATCATCAAACCACTTAGCAGAATGGCCTGTAATTGGAAGGGAGCTGCCATTCTTAAGTTAATTATTACAGAATAAATCTATTCCTATGTTTCACCACTGGCCCCACCCTTCTGCTTCCACTCAGGGAGATACCAGCCCCCCTTATCTTGGACAAACTCATCTGACCCTGCTGCTCTCTCCGGGGAGCCTTCTAGTTCACTCTCTTGTTTTTCACCCAATTCCCAAAACAAGGCTGTGGATGCCCATTTCATTTGTTCGCCTCCTGCTTCTCATGTTCTAAAGGGCTGTGACTGAGCTCTGAGGAGTCACCAATGCCCTAGTCCCCAACTGAAACCTCTCTGCTGGATGTGACCTTGTTTGATAACTCGTAAAACTCTTTCCTCCCATTCGTGGGTAACATGGAGCACATCCAGAAAAATATATAACATTGCTAAGATAGCTTTCTCTAAATGGGAGGGGGATGCAGGCTCTCTGGTTTTGTTCATTTTCCACACAGGACATCTCTTGCAATGTTCAGGGAAGAGCCTACTTGAAGCAGCTGTCAAATATGGAAATATCTGAAGGGATCCTGAACTTGTGACTTGATGAAGACAACACAAGAGTGTGTTGAGAATTCTATATCTAGTCATGGAATAAGAATTGCTGTTATCTAAAACACAAATGGGCAAGACAACACTTAGCAATGACATAGGGCGCTCAGAGAGCACCCCTCCCCCAGGGCCTGCCCACCACAAGACAGGATCCAAGACCTGGCCTTGGATCAGACTCTGTTTGAATTCCTCTTCTCTTGAATGCTGAAGCCACCAGTCCTCTGCTACTCTGTTTACGGACGGGGGTGTACAGTCATCCAGGCCTTTATTCCAGCCTGCAGTTTACGTTCAGGCTTTTCTCCAAGGTCATTTACAGTCCTAAGTCCTCATAAGGATGGATTCCTCCAGAACACAATGGGCTACATAATTTGGGGGTTGCTTCTGAGAGTGGGACTCTCTGGGACCACACGGGTCGCATGCCCATGGGGCCAACTCTGCTCCAGAAAGTGACTCCCATAGGTGCTCAGCAAGATGCTGACATCTCCTTGTCCTGTTTGCTGTGGGGACGATTTGGGTGGGCACCTTGGGCTGTCCAGCTTTCTCTCTCACTGAGTGTACACTTCTGCATCTGTGGCTTCTGCCACAGCGACATCCTGACCCAGGCTGCCATGATGGGCAAGGCTGAGGCTTTCCTTTGTGAGGAAGTTAGCCCCATTAGAGATCCACGTTGATAACGGATTCCACCACTGGGAAAATGCATGCCTGCCAAGACACTTCCTGTTTAACACCAGCTGCCACTGTGCAAGGAGCATTTGGTTCAACCACTCCTTGTAGGCTGTGAGTCCAGGGTCCTGCTTCTCTTCCTTCCTCTCCAACAGCAGCTTCTCTGCTCTCTTTTTCTGGATCCTCTTTCTGTCTCAGCCACATAACTCTATGTCTTCCCCAAGGCTCAGTTTCTGTGCTCTACTCACAGGTTAAATCCTATCATTTCTGTTCCTCAGTCACATCTACAAATAGCCATGCAAAATTACTTGAGTGTGTAGGATCGAGGATGCTCACGTCTCAAACTAAGTACATAAAAGCAGGAGAGCAAATGGAGCAGGGTGGCTGGGAAGGTGAAACTTGAAGTTTGTTGTTGCTGCTGCAGCTGCATATTATTGTCATTAGCAAGAGAAGCTGTCCTTTAGGTTTGTAGCCACCACCACATCTAGCGGCAGAAGCAGCAAGTTACTGGAGTTGGATCCCTTCATTCTGCTAAGAACTCAGTAGCCCCTGTTACTTGCAGCACTGTAACCACAGTGCACGCCTGTCGGAGAGTATACAAGGCCACATTCTAGCTTCTAAAGATATAATACTCAACTAAGAAGACGCAGTGTACCTAAGGGATTGGTGATGGAGGTAGTGTTTTCTCGGCTCTCATTAAACATATATATCAAGACCAGAATAAATGAAGAGCTATACAATGTCCTGGATGGGAAGATTTAACGTTGTAACGCTCTTGATTTTGTCCCAAATTAAGCTATAGATTTAATGCAAGCTCAAGCACAATCTCACTGGGATTTTGAATATGATCAAAAAATATTATGAAATTCACCCAGAAGCATTTCGGGCTTCTGGCAATGGAGAAGTAGCTCCTATCGACCAATGCTTTCACGGATAACGATTATAAAGTCTTGCAATAATGTGCGGAAAAAAAGGCAGTCTGAAGGCACTAGAGAGCAAGGAAAAGCCAGCGGAAACTGAAGGGGAGGAAGGGGACAGCAGATGACATGGGAGCGCGAGGGTGGTCAAGGGCCGGGTAGAGAGAGTTTCCCTGCTCTCTTAGTACCCGCCTCTTGTACTTCGGCCCTCGCCCATTGCACCAGCTCCTCCCTCTTAACAGGGAGATTGTCTACATCCCATTTGACCCAAGACCAGAGAGTGGCCAGACCCTCAGTCAGCCCGTCACCCCCCAGGGACCCGGCACCCCTTGCGTTTCCACCAAGCTACGGTGTGTTTCCTGGGTGGCCCTGCTCACTGCACCAAACTGTCACTGGTTACCAATCCCTGGGGAGGAATCTAACTACTTGGAGGACAGCAAAGCTCATCACTATGCCAGCCACCAGGAACAGAATTCCAAACACCTCTGCCCATGGCATCTTGGGATCAGAGTCACCAAGAAAAACACAATGCAGTCAAGCACTGGATGGAACAACGCCTTCCTTACGTGGAGCAGAGACAGAGCAAGATCTGCTCCAATAGTGAGCATCGGTCTCCCATGGCTAGCAGGTCTCTCCTGATGGCCAGCCAAATTAGGACAATTTGCCTACACGCACCCCTTCTGTACCATAGCAGAAAGACCTTGTCCCCTACCCAAGGAGGACAGATATAACAGTAGGGTTGACCAGGTGCCATAGGATGCCCACGCTTCAAGCAAAGACAAAAGAGTATTCTTTGAGCCTGAAACAGGGCACGGTATTCCCACACAAGGTGATAAGCCAGGCTTAGGCTGTGTGGGCTCGTTCCAAGGAAGAGTTCCAAGCCCAAGGCTCATTCTTCTGTGGCCAAGTGGGGGCCAAAAGAATGCATGCATGACACTGCCTTTCCAATCCCCATTTTCTTGACTTTTTGCATGAGAGCAAGCCACAGTTTAAAAGAGCTATCACTAGTTCTAAGTGCTCAGGAAAAAACCATTTGCAAACACTTAATTTAATGAGAATATACTATTCATTTTTAAAATTTCATTTTACATTTTGAATTAATGTAGTTTATATTTTTTTGTAGTAAAACATAGCTCATATTTCTACAGGCCTTAAAAACACAGACAGTGGTTTGTATTTGAATTGTGTCTTCTGTAACAGATTCAATAAAGTTGGACCAACTCTAAAAGATGCGAGGGGGAGGGGCTTGCCACATCAAGTCCCTAAAGCTCATACTCAAATGCTTTGATGTCCCACACCTAGCACTGCACATAGCCGTGGAAATGACAGGAAGCCTTCCCAACCGTAAGGGGACTAAATGACTTGGGAAATTCATGGAGTGTATAAAAGCTGGAAGCGGGAGGCTGAAAGTGAAGGGAGGTGATTTGCTTCTGAGGGCTGTAATAACGAAGCACCGAGACTGGGTGACTTAGAACAACAGAAATTTCTGGTCTCATGGTTCTGAGGGGCAGAGTCTAAAAAAGTTGTCAGCAGGGCCACACTCCCACTGAAGGCTTTAGGGGAGAATATTTCCTTGCCTCCTCCAGCTTCTGGTGTTTGTCAGCAATCCTCGGTCTTTCTTGGCTTGTAGATGCATCACTCCAGTCACTTGTCCATCTTCTACCTGTGTGTCTTCACATCATCTTCCTTCTGTACTTGTCTGTCTCTGTGGCCAAATTTCCCCTTTTTACAAAGACAACTCTCTTGTTGAATTAGGATTCAACCTAATGATCTCATTTTAACTTAATTATCTCTGTAAAGACCATGTTTACAAATGAGGTCACATTCTGAGGTGCTGGGGGTTAGAATGTTAACATATCTTTTTTGAGGGGGTCACAATTTAACCTACATCTAGGGACCAGTTCACCAGGGGCCTTGTGGGCCAAGTTGGGGGCCTGAGCTTCATCCTGAAGACTGGGCACCCACTGAAGTTGGTGTGGCATGGCCAGCTTTGTGTTCCTGAAATATACCTCTTGCAAAGAAGTAGGCAATGATTTAGAGGGGTCAGCCTGGATCAAGAGAGTCCTATTCAGAGGCTGTTTCTGTGCAGCGAAGGCCTAAATCAAAGCTTCAGCAGCCCTGGGGACAGGACAGATGCAAGAGGCAGTTTATGGAAGCATCCACAAGGAGGTGCTCAAAGCAAGAGGGCAGCACACAAAGGATGGGTCCAGAGAAGACAGGGACAGTTCTACAGAGGGCATCCCGCACCACCGGGGGAGGACCATCTGGATCTGGGAGTCATGCGTAGACAGGGCACTAGAAAGGGGTTCTCAGCTACCGGTGAAACATTTCAGCCCTTGAACTATTCCCCTAAACCCATTAAAATATCTACGCTTATAAGCCGCCTTCTGATGAGTATGGGATGAGGGCGGGAACATACCCTCATTGCATTAAAGGGCTTGCCCCCGTTCTAAATTAATGCAGTGGCATTTTATTTAGACATCGGTGTCTCTGATTTCTATTTGCAAGGCTTGGACTTGAGGCACCTGGGAGGATGGCGCCTTCACAGAGATGGGGGCCCTGGGGCGGGGCAGAACTGTGGGGGGCTGGGCGGGGGGCATATGTTCCTGTGCCTGTGAGACACCAGGAGGAGATGCCCAGGGCGATCAGCTTTCTGAGTCCCGAGCAGAGGAGGAGTCTGCGCTGCACAGATGGACTTGGAGCCATTACCATGTGGTGGTGCTTCACTCCATGCGTGTGGGTGAGATCACCCCAGAAAAGACCAGAAATAGAAAAAGGCATCTCTGGAGGCTGACTCCTGAGA